GACACGATATGTTTTCTTCACGTACTAAGTGTGTTTGGTGCATAATCATAAAGTAATAATGTATAACAACTTTTGTGTAAAAGTTAAAGGTCGATTTTAAACGTGATTTCTATGCAAATTGATCCTTAGTGCGACTTTCTAGATCCTTGCTCCTTTCAAGATAGCACAGATCCTACCTCTGAGCTATAGAAAAAATTAGGCGTTATAGTTTAAAAATCAGAGTACACCGGTAAGTAATTTAAACAGTAAAACAAATCTCGCAAACCTATCACTTCAACATAACTTTTAAATTGCGTTTAGGAGTATCTAAAACATTCTTACGTTCATTTGATTATCTATTCTTAAGTAGAGTTGCGTATTCCTTGTTTAGTTTAGTAGTCTCATTTCCTACAGTACATCTTACCACAGCGATAAATTTGTTTCAAAGAAACCAAGAGTATTTTAAAGGGGTTTCAAACGGTGTAAGGAAAAGTGTATAAAGTGAAGGTACGGAGGTCATAAGTTGACCCGGTTGAGGATCTAAAATAAGATCAAAACCACCCCTTCTTCCCAACCCTCTTACTTTCTATTTGGATTAAAAGGTTCTTTGGTTAACAAGTACTTCATTGTCCGGAGACAAAAACGTTTACCTTTTGTTAGAGACAAATTTGCCTTTAGTTCTTTCTCGAAGCATAATTTGTTTAAATCAAATGTTTTATTCAGCTGTAGGGAAGAATTGACTGCGCCGCGTTGCCATGACAACCTTCCCGTCATGCATCGGCACAAAGGAAAGTTACAGCAGACGACGTTCAGAATTCAGCAGCTGAGAGTGAATTTTTAGTAGTTACTAGCTGTGTACCCGTTCTACGCACGGGGATCTTATAATATTCAGTTGAAACCTTCTTATATAACGAACAGCAGTTGGTTTGCATATTTTAAGATATGCTGGCCAAACTATTATACATAGCTTCATTTTATGTTGTTTTTTGTTGTTCCGGATCGGTATGACAATCAATAAAAGGTTAAATTACCTCTGTGTCTGCCGGTCGATCCTATAACGGTAGGCTTACTTTTATTTTTACTATCTGATCTCGTTTGCATGGCTCAATCACGTCCTGGTTGAAGTTCGTTCGCTACGCTCACTCACCTGTATGTTGGAGCTCGTTCGCTGCGCTCACTTTCCTTCAGGTTAGCTCGTTCGCTACGCTCACTTGCCTTCAGGTTAGCTCGTTCGCTACGCTCACTCGCCTCCAGGTTGCAAATTAGCTGTTGTCATAAATGTAAAAGAAATAATAGTGCTAGTGCTGCACCCTGTTGGTAATCCTTGTAACTTTAATGCTATTGAACATCACAGAACAGAACCAACTTGTTTAATTGAAACAGCTGTTAAGATTCAATAATTTCATTTCTCATAAGGTTAACATGGGCTTCCAGAAATTCCACGTCAAAAATCGACAAAAACTTGATTTTCAAGGGTTTACTGTTAAATATCTAACTGTCTCATATTCGATGAAATACGTCTAAAACCATCTCATATATGTATAGTATTTGGAAAATAAGTTTCAGGCGGGACAGTGCTATAGTTATTGAGGAGTAGTTGTAATAAAGTGCGTATTTTAGCGTTACCAAGAGAATGACAGATAGACAGACAGACAGACAGACAGACAGACAGACAGAAATTGAGATAAGGTTTGATTCGGTTTCTCTGACCTATGAAATGTAAAAATAACCAAAAAGTTCATTATTCTAAGCAATGTACAGACAAAACTCTAATTTTATTTATATAGATGTGGTTGTATATATTTTTTTAACCTAGAAAAATTACAAAATTTGAAGACGCCACATCATGTCGTTTTTCGGAAACGCCTTTCAGGAGTTTGTGAGCGATCCTTTCTTTAGGTAATTATACCATATATATTTTACCACATTACACGTTGTTTGAACTTGAGTAGCGGCACAAACATATTTTATTATTGACTAGGCCCGAGGCCTTAGTACGAATATGAAATAACTTAAGCTTACTATCGGAATAAACATAATACTTTAGATTTTTTCACTTAGAAAGGCATAAACTCTGAAGTATTGTGTGTTTCTGCACGGTACAATATGCAGAGTGAGTTTTTATTTTAACAATTTATTTCTTATGCAATATCATTGAAACCTTTTTAACAACAAATTATAACTTATACTATTTCAAAACTATGTGTTTTTCTATGATGATTTTAAAAACGGATAAATAAAGCACAATTAATTACCCCTGATGTGAGGGGGGAATTCCAACTCTTGTCATCGATGCTCTCAAGGTTTGAAGATTAAAGGAAACAGTTATGATGGGTCAGATTTTATGCAAGGAAATCCTTCTTGCAGTATCCAATGTCACGGATAAAATTAAAATATTTTGAACCGTACAAAATGTAGACGGTATTATTTACTATTAATTGTAGACATTACTTTTTTTGTATAAATCTAAGGTAAATGTGATAAATTTTAAAACAGTTCAAAATTATTTCTCATTAGGATTTTTTATTTGTTTGTAGCAAGTGTGCATTGTTATTGATTGTTATTATAAAAAAGTAAATAAAATAACTTGCGTTGCTTGTGTGATAACACAGTTAGTTTTGTAACAAAGTTTTTGTGTAAAATATATAAAAATAAATCACCTTAATTGTCATAAATTATCCTGTTCATATTTCAATTTAAGACTCTTAACTCATTGCAGCATAGTGTTACAGTAAATGTAACACCAAATGTTTGTCCATTGTTTCACAGTGTTACACTTTGTGTAACACCACATGTTTTATTTTTTTCCAACCAGACACACAGCGCTATTATTTCGGAACTGTTCCCCTGTAGTTCAACACATCACCACTAGATAGGGTATGTGGGTATTTGAGGGAAACCTATTTATTTATTGTGTTCAGAGACGTTCACATGTGTTCGTGTTGGTGTTTACTGTTATCATTGATACTTTCATGATTATTGAGGTAAGTTTATTACTGATTATACTTATTCTAAATGGAAAATGAACTTATAGTTTCGTTATACAATATGAAGTTGTTTTCCCATAATTTATTTAAGTTATACGTTGCTAGGTGATAGGTCAAAACAATTAAAAACAAGCATTTTTGCATTTGTCATAGTTCCGTGCAACATGGGGTCAAAGAACTCAGGGCCGGACTTACCTATGGGCGGAGGGGGCGATCGCCCGGGGCCCCCGGGCCACAAGGGGGGCCCCGGCAGGGGCCCCCTTGCACAGTAGTTTTTATTAATTAATTTGAACATTTATCAGACACTTACCAAATGGCCTTCTTTTGTAACAGCTTTATTTTTATTTTCGTTATCCTATGTTTAAGATTATTGTTAGGTGCATTTTAAGGCATTACTAGGAACAAAATTCTTGACCCTAAGAGACTTTTCCTCAGAGTTGCACTGGGCCCCAAGTTTAGGCCTGGTTTACACGAGCATATGTGCTAGAATGTGATGGACAAGTTTCAGTTTCAATGAAGCCGCTCACCCGAACGTACGGCCGCGGCAAATGAGTTGAAGGGGGCCCCGCGCTTGGGGCAAAAATACAATAAATATGAAAACTCTTGTCCCAACGTAGAACGTAACTTGTAAAATTGTGTTGTGTTAAATGAAGATTCACTGGAGTTCAAATACTTTTAAAAATATAAACATTGCTCCGTTTTATTAAATGTTATTCTTTTCTTTTACCTCTAAGTATATACCAATCAGGATTTTAAGGGGTAGAAGTATATTATCCGTTCAATTTAAAGGTTTTGTAAAATAGTAATTAATCAAGTTTTGCGTCGAAATGTTGATCTCCAAATTAGTCTTTAAAGTCAAAATCATACAGCGCCAGTAAGATTTTTTAAATCTATATAGACACTTAAAACAACTAGAGTCGTCTGATGTTAACAAAAAATTACATTTATTGGGAGTGGGGAGCGTTGTCGACTGAAATCGTAAACAAGCGATAAGCAGAAGCAGCTGCAACAATCAATGATGATGAGCTGATAAGGGATCCTGTCTAGTCCTGTCTGTCTCACGCACTCGCATACACGCACATAAAAAGCCTTATCGCCTATCCAAAACAAGTTATATCACTTTACTCCCATAGTTTGTCCTTTGAGACTAGTAGTCACGTCAAGTTGGTTGAAATTGTCTTACTTTTTGACTTATTTTATTGTAATTCTGCAAACTAACAGTACAAAAACGAAGCTGAAATGAGTAATGTTGTATTCAATGCTATGTTTGTGTTGTATTAATCGATATTGGAACCACTTAAACATCTTTCAGTTTCTCATATAAATAGTTAGCTTGTGAGTGTTTATTAGACATTGCAAGATTCCATACCCCCCAATCCCCCCGGAGGCCCCCCACACTGAAATCCTAGGGCCCCATTGGGAAATTTGCCCGGGGCCCCTAAAATCCCAAGTCCGGCCCTGAAAGAACTAGGGATGGTTCCGTGCAGCAAAGAGTTAAGACATCACTGGCCAGATGGCTGCTGGAGAGACCATATAGCATTTCTAATGGACCAACACTACTTACTACTATTCAAGCTTAACACAAACTTTGTACCTTTTTGACAAATGGAATATGGAATATTCTCAAAGAACATGGATAAAGAGCTAAATCATCTTCTGCAGGGTGTTGGGAGGATTTTCTTCTGCAAACACTGATAAACGGATCTTGACAAAAAAATCATCAATTTTGGGAATTTCATTTCTAATTCATTGCAACAGAATTTTGTTCTTATCCTTGTGCCGCCAGGAAATTGAAACCTCCCGCCCCCTTGGGCCCACCCACTCGGTGCATTTACTAAAGAGTTCCCAAATTAAAGATGTTTTGATTCATGTTCATGTTAGATGAATGTTATTTTACACAGACATCTATCATGTCTATGTATTTTGTGTGATTGAGTAGGTATCACATGTTATGTTGTAAAACAAAGTGTAAAATAGATTGAACGGTAAAAATCAATTGTTTACTTTATTTACACATGTTGATGTCTGTTGCAGCTCGTCTATGAGCGGGCCTCATGCTGGGTTCCACCAGGTGGCTCGGATGATGGACTCTCTCATCCTCGACTCTTTCTCTCCCTTCACCTTCACCAAGATAACCACTGCCCACCGTCCCCGGGGGTGTCGTCACTCTGCTGCCCCCGTAGCTGCCAACGCTGCCCCCAAGCCTCAAGCGCAACAACCACAAAGTACGACTATTGACTTGTAGAAATTGAACTATACACTGTCTATAAGAACAGTGTAGCCAATTTTGAGTTCAGGAGAAAAATACTGTTGTTGAATAAGCTACTCAAAATGAAATTTTTTGACTAATTTTTCAATGTGATTTTTGATTCTCATGTGATCAGAGGTAAAAAGTCGTGGCATTAAGAAACAAATTAACCGTATTTGACAGCAGCACACTGTCGATGAATCATTCCCACTATGCTAATCCGTATGAATTTGTCTACAATGTTGAACACAGGAACACATGTGTACTTCTCTGTAATGTTTCCACCCTAAGTTCTTGTATTTATTAGATATTCAGTTTGATCTGGAAATATAATTGATTGTTTCCCATAAAAATGTCAAAATTGTTAATCTTTACCATTCAGGGGTAAAACAATACTTGTCAATGTCATGTAATAATACTTGATCTCTACCCAGGTAACCAGACCAAGACTGGTGGAGGTGGTGGAGGGGGTGAGGAGAGCCGCAAGCCTTGTACCACGTCTCCCGACGCTACCGCTGACCGCTGGGTAGCCTCGCTGCGACGACGTGACCCGGAGATCCAACCCACACTACCCTCCATCAATCGCTCAAGGTCATACATACTGCTCACTTAGATTACTCTCTTACATTGTGTGGAATAATCTAGCTAGTCTATGGGAAAACTAGGATACATTTGATGACTACTATGACAAACACAAAAACAACACTTATGAACAATAAAAAATGTTAAGAACAATTTGTTTTTCAGCCGTAGCAACAGCAAAGACGGTAATTCGAGGCGATATAGAAGCGAGAGTTCAAGGAGAGAGAGAAAAATAAACCTTAGACCCATGGTAAAGAAACTGCTGGCAGCGGCAGCTGAGGATGAAGAAGAAAAGGCCGAAAAGGAAGACGACAGCGAGAAGGATGAGAAGATTTTCAATCCCACTGGCTACGAGGCACATCTCGTGGAGATTCTGGAGAAGGACATTCTACAGCGCAACCCAGACATTCAATGGGACAAAGTGGCTGGGCTGCAGGAGGCCAAGTCTGTTCTACAAGAGGCTATGGTGTTGCCAATGCTGATGCCTGACTACTTCAAGGTAAGGCTTTAGCACAGAATGTAAAGGTGGCATTATTTTTATTGAATTAAATAACACTTAAGCCATTATAAGTAGAAGATTTGTTCATAAAATAAAATAAAATAACTGGCAATTATAGGACCAAAAGAAGGTAGACTAGCTCCTTAGATTTTCTGGTAATAATTAAGCTTCTCAAAAGTCCCTCATTATCGATCTCTTCAATGTCTCCTCATCCACTCTCACCTCCAAGTGAATCATGTGATGGGATGGTTCCAGGGTATCAGGAGGCCATGGAAGGGAGTGCTGATGGTGGGTCCCCCGGGCACAGGCAAGACCATGTTGGCCAAGGCTGTAGCTACAGAGTGTGGGACGACGTTCTTCAACGTCTCCTCATCCACTCTCACCTCCAAGTACCGTGGCGAGTCTGAGAAACTGGTCCGTCTATTGTTTGAAATGGTAAGTATGGTTAACTTTTACAATGCTAGTTTTCTCGTCTTGATTACATTTTATGAGCATAAACTCTCAATCAATCAAATTAGTAACTGGGTACCGGTAACTGAGTTTTTATAGCTTAATTAGTATTCCTAAGATTCAGCCCTTAGTGTTTGAACCACATTTTACACCTTTGAAACTGAGCCTAGTTTACCTTGATCATTGGGCTTTCCTAAACATTAGTGACACTGGCTAAACCATCATCGTCAGTTAGAAGTAATTCATCACTGACATCCTTCTTTAATCGCCTGCCTTGACATTTAACATGGTTTATGCCTTAGTTCAGCAAGTCAGTAATAATAATTAATCTTATTATTACTGGTCATGAATCGATAATTCCTGTGATGGCACTTACAATTTTGATCAAATACTAATTTTTGGTCTTTGGACCACAATGATCGTTATCATAATCATCGTCTATTTAGTAGGTCTAATCTCAAATTCACTAGGTAAAATTTCTCTTCTTCAATTTGTAGTAGAAATTTCTTTTGTGAGGTTTCAAGACCAATCTCTCTCTCGAGGCAGATTTTTGCCATCCTTTTGCAACCCTTTGGCTGAAAATAATGAGAAGAATAATGAGCCTTTGACTTACTGTGGGCTACTTAATAGAGATAGAGTATACTTGCAACGAAATGTATATATAAGGTCATTTGAGTATAACTTGTCTCAAGAGCTCAGGCAAAGAAGGTTTAATTAATTTTAATTTATTGTAATTTCAATAAAATTTTAAAAACCATGTTTTATCCAGGCAAGGTTCTTTGCTCCTAGCACCATCTTCATAGACGAAGTGGACTCACTGTGTTCGTTGCGAGGCTCAGACTCTGAGCATGAAGCCTCTCGCAGGTTCAAAGCTGAGCTTCTCATACAAATGGATGGCTTGAACAATTCTACGTAAGTTTACAATTTGTATCTCGTAGACAATCAAAAAATGAGTTTAGTTTTTTTGTAATAAAATTATTGTCTTTTATTAGACGAGTTTTACTTTTATTTTTACCTGTTGTTTGACAAGTGTTTGTATTCAACTTTTGCTTTTGTTAAAAACGTTAATCTGTACAATAAAGAAATATTTGTTTCCCTTAAAAAATTGAATGGATAAGAGAACACTATATTATGGAACAGAGGTTTGCCATAAAGTCTTTATTTGCGCTACTTATACTCTCTACTGTTTAGAGGAGGACTCTCTCTTCAAGGGTTGCAGATACGTTTCCAAGACAAAAATTGTTTGTAGTAATCTTTTGGTTATCTTTTCCTTTATTTAGTTTGGAACTAAAATCATGATTTACTATCTTTTTAAAACGTTTTTATTAGGTCGCTTTCTTGTCCGCTACAAATTTTGCAACCGATTTTAGACTAACTTCCCGATGAGCTAGGGACTTAAAACTTGAAACATATCTCACAAATGGAAGACAATGCAATATTATACAATTTAATTTTCATATTTCCCTTGGGCTACGCCCCATGGGCTTGTTTTTATTTATCAGTAAAATTGAGGTTAAAATATAGATTCTTGCTCACTAAGATTCATTCATAGGTATATATTGTTTATTTAAGTAATTGATAACCTTTATAAAATTATCTAAATTCTAATCTATGAACCTGAACTGATGTAATAGATCCACTTTGTTCCCTTTAAAGGAATCAATAATGATCCATACAGGGTTGGAAAAAAATGTGCCCTTATCCACGTATAGATATTTTGTAATAAAATAATTATCCTAACCTGATCCATACTGCATTAGTTAATTTTTGCTAACATATGCTATTTATTTACTCAAAAGCCACGTTTACACGATGCCAGTAGAACAGGCAGGTGAAGGGGGAAGTTACCTGCCTCTAGTGTATTTCACCTGAGACAGGTAGCCTGCCCGCCATCTGGCTCCTTGTAAACGTGGATTTAGAGAAGAAGTACTTAAATTGGTGAGATAGAGATACTTTACATTTATTGGATATGAAATACTGTTGCTGTGAATTTATGTACATTTATGTGGATGGCACCCCCCACCCTCATACCAGAACAAAACCACTTATGTTTAATATGCTTATCTAAGCAAAAGCCGTGATTGCGGCAAAATCCTAAACTCCCACGGACGTTTTTACATAGCCTCCGCATTGGTCATGGAAATATCGTCATTGTTTACCGTGACGATAAATCTTGAAAATCTCCTATGTTCATGTCAACATTGTCTCCCACGGCCATTGATTTTAGTTGTCGTTTCCCCTGATCGTGGAAACATCTTATACATCATCCATAGCCTTGTATACATCATCATCATAACCTGCGGTTAAGGAAACACTGTCATCTTTTTTTTTGCAACCACTGAAAAATCATGAATATATTCTTTGATCTTGAAGACAATATCTTCGTCTCCCGTGGCCACAGAAACAATGTAATCTTTTTCTGCAATTAAGGCAAAATCATTGCTTATTCGGTCTTGAAGACATCTTTGTCTCCCGTGGTCACAGAAAAACGTCATCTATTTCCGCGATTGCAACAAAATCTTGAGTATCTTCCTCGGTCTTGTAGACATTATTTTTGTCTCCCGCTGTCACAGAAATGACAACAACTTTTCTGTGACTGTGGCAAAATCATGAATATATTCTTCCGTCTCGAAGACATCATCTTTGTCTGCCACAGTCACTTTTTTTGTGATTGCGGTGAGCTGTGACAAGCGGACCTCGGCGCCTCCTGGACCTCGGTGCCTCCCCGCAATGAGAGGGTTGCAGGGGTGTTATTTACGCCACTGAATTGATGTATGTTTAATGACATACATCAGTATTTCCAACATTCCAACATAGATCCTTCATAGATTCCTTCATAGACCAATAACACTAATTTAGGTTTTCTGTTTTGATTCATCTTCATTTCCAGTGGAAGTCAGAGCAATATTTTTTTACAGGATGGGTTTTTCAACTCAGTTTTTACCTTTGTTTCAGGGTTGATGATGAAAAGTCCATCCTGGTGTTGGCAGCCACAAACCATCCGTGGGACATTGATGAGGCCTTCCGGAGAAGATTTGAAAAGAGAGTCTACATTCCACTGCCAAATAGTGAGTTATCATTCAAATCAGTTGCATTCTCTGTCCAACAACAGCTTGGGTTAGAAAAATATAAACAGGAATCCAATTTTTTTTTGCCGCTGAAAAAAGTCCTTACCATCAAACTAACCAATCTCTTTGTCAAACACTTTTGTTTTATGGTTAGAATTCAAACAGATTAATTTTTTACTCTTCCAGGTGAAACTCGTGCTGCCTTACTTCAGCTTTGCATGGAAGGAATAAAGATTGACGCAAGCGTCAACATCAAAGCAATTGTGGAGAAACTGGAAGGATACACTGGATCAGATATAACCAATGTTTGCCGGTAAGTACAGATAGTAAAGTAGTGCAATTTTATGTATAAAATAATAATTGTAACTTTTCTAATACTAATATCTGTTTGCAGAGATGCAGCGATGATGTGTATGAGAAGGAAAATCAGTGGAAGATCTCCAGCGGAAATAAAAAAGATGAAGAAAGCAGATGTTGACTTGCCTGTAACTTCAAGAGACTTCACAGAGGCGATAGACAAATGCAAGAAGAGCGTGAGCGCAAACGATGTCGTCCGTTATCAGTCATGGGTAGAAGAGTTTGGGTCTTGCTGAAACTGGTTTCTTCCATAAAATGGTTTTGGTAAAGGAGTTGATTCCGAAATAATGATGAATGTAGGAGAACTTTAGTTTTCCAAAATGCTTTATATAAACGTTTACCTGCGGTTACCCCAACTTCAAAGTGTCTTCAGATATCGGTATTGTTTGTAATGGTGGGAAATTTTCAATATTAAATATAAATTTAATTATTTGCAGCTTGTTGTGTGTGTTATTGTAGTGCTTTTTTGCCTGTAGTCTTTGAAATGTGTGGAAAGTTTGACTATTTTATAAGGTATTATTATTATCAAATGAGAATGAGATAGGGACACAAACTACGTGCACATTTCAGCACAAATATAATCGTAGAATGGAGTAAGAAAATCTGTGTGCCTTTGTTACAGACTAGGACAGCTGTTTGGTTTTGTTTTGTGTGTTTTCTATGCCAATGACATTTTTTATGTTTTGATACTGTTAGATACTGTTCAATGAAATTGCGACCATACATAGTAGGTATTTTAAGCCAAGTATGAATGAAGATGAGTGGCGCGATCTTGTAGTCTTGTTAGTGACTAAGGCCGACATTCCTTAGACACAGCTGTTAGGGCTGATTTTAAAGCCAGGGCCATTTATTGGTCCAAAATTATTTATTGGTCCCAACAATCAAGTTCACACTTTTAGGATCGAATCAGCGACCTTTTGATTAGCAGGCGAGCACTATTACAACTCAGCTATTTTACTTAAGAGTTGTTTGTTACAATTTTTTCTGAAGATTTGCTCACTCATTATTAGCTCATCACCCTGCCCAACCACTTTCTTAATGATTCTATCTAAGTTTTCTTTGGATTTTTAAATTTGTAGGTTATGTACACTGATTTTACAAAACATAAGATTCTTGCCTCAAAATATGTGATGAGTAACATACACCACGCAAATCAAAGCATTAACATTTAGATTACATGTAGTTTAGTTTTGTACATGTGAAAAATTTGTTAAGTTCTACAAAAAATCCAAACAAATATAATCAAAATAATCATGACATTATTTTCATTTGCCATGATTAATTTGATGATATATAATGGAACCAAAGGATACAATAACAAAAATAAATTAATAAATTATTTGAATGGTTTATTTGTATAAATAATTCATTCTTTCAGTTTTTGAGATACCGTACATATTCATTTTTGTTGAATTCCTCATATAGTACTTCATTGTTAAGTTAAATAAGGTTTTTTTAAAATCTCCCTTTGCAAACATACCAGTACTGGAGTACACACACTGATCAAAATATTTTTAATTAGAAAGGTTGGTTAAAATAAAAAAACAATGGTTCCCAAACCATTCACTTATTAAATTTCCAATACTAACCCCCAAATGTCTGTAAACAGCTGTTTTCAAAGTGCAAAAGTCAATATGACAGTACAAATAAACAAACAAAATTGTACACAATTAAAATTGACTTGATACCTTCTAGCATTTAAAACACTTGTGAAATCTAAGTATGTTTTCATACTATTTATTGTTACATGCAGTTCTAATGTTGCTTACCCTAATAAAATTATCTAATAGTGATGAATGTAAGAAAAAGGAAGATTGTTCAACACAAATTCAAGGGGCAGCTTGTTCCCTATGTACAGGAGATTCTGAAAATAGAAAATGCTACTTTCCATTCCCTGAACGATACCTCATTGTTGGTAATAGGTGTACAGTGAAAAAAGCTAATGTTTGTGAAACAAAAAACCCCTGTGAAAATGGTGGAACGTGCCAAGACAAATGGAAAGGGCTTTACTTTTGTGAATGTAAACCAAACTATGTGGGAAAACACTGTGATTTAGAGTACAAACATCTCGGCTTGTTGGACCTGTACGAAATAGATTTTGCAGATTCAATTGCAATGTATCAACGCACAGTTGTTATCGTAATGCTTAGTTTGACGAATGAAGAATCACCGATTGATGTTCATTTGGTAACTGAGGATGGTTATTTTGATAATATGAAAGTATCAACTGAGCAATGTGGTCCTTCTAGTTGTAATTACAAGTACAAAGGTGAATTACGTTACTTGTTTTTGCACAATCAGTACGTTGGCGACGACACTGGCTTTCTTTACTTGGGTAAAAATGTGTTGGGATACTTTACAAAATTCCAAATAAAAGTTGTTCACAAAGGAACAATTATTTTTGCCAGTGAGTTTACAGTTTTTGTAAACTACCCTGAAAATAATTTTTGTGTGCCTACAATTAAACTAAGAGAATGCAGTCTAGATTATAGTACACCCACACTTTTTAACAAAAGGTTGCGAATTGATTTAAGCTCTTCACTGATAACCCTACCCAATGGTAATAGTATAGATGTGTTTGAAGATGACGGAAATAGGGAAATTTGTGGTAAAAGTTTGAAAAACAATTTTGCTTGGAACATTTGGCATTTGAGGACAAATCCAAAGGTTGTAAATGAAATCGCTTTGCAAACGTTTCAAGAAGCATCAATAACCATTAGACCGTTAACTGATCTTTTGGATTTTGGTCCATACAGAGTTGAACTGGAAGTTACAAATGTATTTAACGGGGAAAAGTCTTCCAACTTTGCCTTTTGTTATTTCGATATAAACAGTTTACCATTAGAGCCTGTCATAGAAGGTGGCAGTGAACGCAGCATTGCTGTGAACAAAGGATTGTTGCTCAATGCTGTAATTTCTAGAGATCCGAACCAGCTTCGGGGTAACGAAGATATTACTACGAAATGGAGCTGCACAGATTTACATCACACCCACAGAGACGTAAGTAACATGTGTAAACCGGTAGTTTTGAAAAGTGATGACAATTACTTCATCCCTGCGGCACGGATGATGGAAGGAAAATTCAACTTTACTTTAGAGATTTGGAGTGATATTTACAATGAAAAAGTCTGCACACAATGTGAAACCGCAAAGCTGCATCAGTTTAGCTACCAAATTGTAATAGTTACGAATAAACCAAATCCCCTGATTTTGTGCCAAAGGAATTGTGGGAAAACAGTTTCCGTCAGCTGTAAATTAACACTGAAGGTATCGTATCTCGATAATGTCGATGAACTCTCTTACCAGTGGACTTGCAGAAAAGCTAGGAGTGGAGAAATTATATCGGTGAACTTAACAGATGATTATGATCCCTCATACATATTTCAAATCCCAGAAAACATTTTGGAGAGTGGAACTCGTTATTTTGTGACAGCTACAGTCAAAGTTAACGGGGAAGATTTATCAACAAACTACTTTTTCAAAACAGACCCCTTTAACTACTCAGGGAATTGTTCAGTCAACCCTAACTCAGGCATCAAGGGAGAGACTTATTTTGATATAAGTTGCTCAGCTGTTAAAAAGGAAGTTACTTTTGAATTTTACGATAAGACATCAAAAGAAGCAACTGAAGGTTTTTATGTTAATGGAAGAAGGCTTGGATCATCAAATCAAGGACAACTGAAAGCAGTTTTACTCACTAGGGGAGTAGTTGTGATTTATATAATTCATGGCTTAAGGCGAGTTAGTAGGGAATGTGAGGTTAATCTCATAGACAACCAAACACAAAATGATACTCTGTTGCTTGGAATACTAAATAGTTTTTATTCGAACAATTATCTACTTTCAACACAGATGCAGTATGTTTCATCTATTCCCGATATTGTAAAAGAACACACAGATAAAAAACGGTTGTTACACATTTTAATTCAATATCTTGTTCGTGCCAAAATTCACAACACTGATGATGTAAAACTTAGTTCCTTAACTCTTTTTAACATCTTATCCAAACTAGGTGAAGGTAATATAGATTTCACATTGCTCCACGAAACTCGAGGACTGGTTTTCCGTATTACAAGCACGTTGAAGGATCTACTTGAAAGTGAGATAATTGACACCAAAGAAACAACAGAAGTGTTAGAGGTAATCTTAAACATTTTGGAGCTGTCAGTAAATGTTGATGGTGAAGAAATTGATTTGTTTGGTAAAAATATTGACGTTGGAAATTATTTCTTTTCAACACGTAGTAGTATGCAAATGGAACAAGTATTCAAAGATATTCAAAACATTCTAAAAACTTTACAGCTAGCAGGTTTGCCACCGACGAAAATTTCTTCTGCTAATAACACTTTTGTGTTTCATGTTCTAGAGGAGGATCGAAAATATAACTTGAACATTTCAAAAATGTTGGAGAAATATTCTGGTTTCCCTCTGAAGTTCTCATCAGATTCCTTGAAGCGATTGCAAAGACGTTTAAAGCCAGATGAAAACTTTTCTATTTCCATCGGAGTTGTAAGAGGAACTATAATCAAACTGCCCGATAAATCTACTGTTTCTAACATCCTGATCGTTTCTTTGAGTAAACGGTCTAAAGACAAGATAGTTAAAATGAGAAAGATTTCATCTGTCATAGATTTGGAGATGTACGTAAATGATTCATGGCCAAACGTTGAGAAAATTGTTCAATCAATCCAATTAGACCCTCTATCAAACGAAGATAGTTTGGACTCACAAGTTTCTGTGCATAGGTTTGATCCTGTACCAGGAAGCAAGATATCTGTGCTTTTCTTTTATCCTCCTACAAACGTTCCCTTGAGAGTTATCATTGTAGAGGACTACAGACCGACTCATCAGATGATGATGTCGTTGTCAAGCCTAGTTACTGAACAGTCACCGTACTATTCGCCAAGAATAACAAGGACCAAACCAAATAAATTCTACTACATGGGCGTACTACCTGAGATAGGAAAACCATTGACTGAAACCACCAACTTCACTTACTCTTTCAGTGTTAACACTACCGCATGTGTTTCATGGGAAAATGTGAAATGGAGTTCCTCAGGGTGTAATGTTGGACCAAACACCAGCGACCATAGCATCCACTGTCAATGCAATCATCTGTCAATATTCGCAGCAATATTTCCAATCGCGCCCAACCGGTTAGATGTTGTCAACGACATACAGCTTTTCATAACAGTTCAAAGTAATCTTATTGTTGGATCTGTATTAGGATTTATATTTGTCTCTTATTTGGTTTTATCTGTCTGCGCTTATTTTCTAGATAAAAAAGATAAGTATCTTGGTACTGTTACCGTCCTGGAAGACAATTTACCTGGTGACACAGTCCCTTATATCTTAGCGGTTTGTACGAGTTCTCGTTTCTTTTCAGGAACTTCGGCTAACGTAGGAGTTAGAATTATTGGAGAGCTGGCGAGAAGT